TAGTATGTATGTGGTAAGAAATTATGCTTATATAAATGTGAACGCTGGATAACTTTACTTAGATTAAAATTACACCTTAACAGAAAGTCCAGATCACCTATATTTTAAAGACCTGTTTGGGAATCATATATTGTAAGATATTGTAGCGCTACAATATGTTTGTTCGTATTATAATTTCGAATCCAGGTAATTCAGACGGTTATATCCGAGATACAAAAAGTTCAGCGAAGTTTCTTTTTTAAAAAGTTTTTATTCAAACATCATAAACACAAAAAGGATACAAAAGATTAAACCAGATACAGAAATAGACACACTTTACAGCCAGAGGACTTCACACTAATAAAAGCTGAAAATTAAGCTTTTTACATATTTCCGTTATATGTCTTGCCTTTTAATTCTTTACATTTCGAACAGAATTTAAATTAAAAAAGGAACTATACCTTAAAAGCATTAGAGCATGTTTAGTAAAGTTTCTGATGGCAATAAAGGCTCGGGTTTTACGCACTACAGTTGTCCCAGTTTTGCCCAAAACAGCTACGGGGCTTCACTTGCCACAAAGACGCCCGTTTTGATGACGTAAGGGGAGGCTCCGCACCTGGAGCCGCAGTAACCAATCAGACTCCAGGAAATGACAGGAAGTAGGGAGCGCGCTTCGTGAGTGGCCCTGTCGGCGCCACAGCTCCTCCCACCGCTGACAACGGCACAGTCCTTCCGTCGCAGGTGAGAGTGTGGTGCCCAACCGGGTTTTGCTTTTTCATTTTTATTTAAAATATTAATCGTTTTATGAAATTACCAAATGCATGGTATAGAACAGAGTGTAGTAAACCATCTAACAAAATCAGCTGGTCGTGTACAGGTGGAAACTAGCCCGTGTCTTTGGTGACCTAGAGATCGGGTGACAGCGAGAGAGTTCATTTACATTAGCGATGGTTTGATTTATCAGCAGGAATGCACCTCTTGCAGTTATCATCCGTTAGCAGATAATTCACTGGAGGATCTCAAGCAGATCGTCTGAAACGAAGCCACGTTTACGACCTGTTCCACGCTCCCACCGCGCTTTGTGTACAGTAGCACTCGGTTTTCAGTGCGTTTCAGCTCGAGTCCTCTGGGTTGTGCTTCCCTGCTGGTTCTGCGCGTCCCCTGGCAGACTCTGCCCGTGTCTTTGTCCCCTCGTCGTCCTCTCTGATCAAGACTTCAGGTCGGTCCGTTCAGCCCATCAGTGCAGAACTTCATCTGAGTCCAGAGCAGCAACAGCTGTCAATGAACTGCTGGAACAAATATCCAGTCAGGATTAATGCCCAAAACTGTGCTACTTGGACAAAACCAAGTCCAGTCATTTCGTGTATTAACCCCTCTGTCTCTCGGGGTGCCTGTGTGCAGGACCCCCTCGGTCTCTCGCTCAGCGATGTCAGTGGGCCGGCTCGCCGTGAGGGGCTCTGTGCTCCTGCTGTGTGACATGCAGGAGAAGTTCAGACCCAACATTGTTCACTTCAGCAACATCGTGAGCAACGCCGCCCGTCTGCTGCAGGTACTGTTCACATCTATATCCACCTGTCTC